GGATTATCTCCTCCTTATGGGTGTTTCCGGAACCAAAGGCTGTTGGTGCTTCCCAGGCAGGGAGGAGTCACCGGCAGCCACTGGCCCTGGGAGTAACTCTACAGTGCTGGCCTCCCACTGCATTGTGGGAGCTCCACTACTCAGCAGGCCTCTGTCTTGCACCACTGGTGATGCCTTTGGTGTGGTATGAGGACTAAACAACACACTTCTAAATAATCCATGGGTCATAGAGGAAATCTCAAAGGAAATTTTAAAAATGAATGAAACAGGGGCTGGCCCCTTGGCCGAGTGGTTAAGTTCGCGTGCTCCGCTGCAGGCGACCCAGTGTTTTGTTGGTTCGAATCCTGGGCATGGACATGGCACTGCTCATCAAAACCACGCTGAGGCAGCATCCCACATGCCACAACTGGAAGGACCCACAATGAAGAATATACAACTATGTACCAGGGGGCTTTGGGGAGACAAAGGAAAAAGATAAAATCTTAAAAAAAAAAGTTTAAAAAAATGAATAAAACATATCAAAATTTATAGGACACAGCTGAAGTAATCCTGAGAGGGATATTTACATCATAAATACATTACAAAAGAAGAAAAGTCTCAAATCAATAATCTAAGCTCCCATCTCAAGCACCTAGAAAAAGCTTAGCAAAATAAACTCAAAGTAAACAGAAGGAAGGATATAGTAAAGAAAATAGCAGTAATCAATGAAATTGAAAAGAGAAAACCAATAAAGGTGAATGAGAAAAAAGTTCTTTGAAAAGATCAATAAAATGGACAAATTTCTAGTAATATTGACAGAGTAAAAACAAAGACAAATTATCACTATCAAGCAATGAAGAAGGGGATGGCACTGCAGACTCCGCAGACATCAAACAGATCATACGGGAACACGATGAGCAACTCTACATACACAAATCTGACAACTTAGATGAAACAGAACAATACCTCAAAAAAGCTCAAATTACCACAACTCACCCAATATGAACTAGATCATTTGAATAGCCTTATAACTATTAAAGAAATGGAATTCGTAGCTTTAAAAATTCCCAAAAAAGAAATCTCCAGGCCCACATAGTTTCACTGGAGAACTCTGCCAAACATTCAAAGAATTAATGTCAAGTCTACATAGTCTCTCCTGGAAAACAGAAAAGGAGCAAACACTCTCCAACTTATTCTGTGAAGCTAGTGTTAGCTTGATATCAAAACCAGATAAAGACAGTACAAAAAAAGAAAACTACAGACCAATATCCCTCATGAATACAGGTGCAAAATCCTTAACAAAATATTAGCAAAGAGAATTCAACAATATATAAAACGAATTATATACCATGACAAGTGGACTTTATTCCGGGATGCAAGGCTGGTTCAATATTTAAGAATTAATGTAATCTATTCACAAAACTAATGTAAATCATTTACAAAAAACCTAGACCTAACGTTATACTTAATGATGAAAAACTGAATGCTTTCCCTTCAAATCAGGAATAAGGCAAGGATTTCTATTCTCATCACTCTTATTCAACACAGTGCTGGGAGTTATAGACAGTGCAATAAGGCAAGACAAGGCATGAAAGAAATGAAACTGTTCCTATCAGCAGATGTGACTATCCAGGTGGAAAATCTCAAAGGATCCACAAGAAAACTCCCAGACCTTATAAGTGAGTTCAGCAAGGTCAGAGGATACAAGACAAATACAAAAATAAATTATATTTCTATATACTAGCAATCAATATAAAGACATTGAAATTCAAATAAAATATCATTTACAATCAATCAAAAAATAAATGAAATGAGGTATAAATCTAGCAAAATATGTATAAGATTTGTGTTCTGAAAATGACATAATGCTGATGAAAAAAATCCAAGGAAATCTAAATAAATGAAGAGACATACATTTTTCATGGATTAGAAAACTCAACATAGTAAAGATGTCAAATCTCCACAAACCTTGGTATACAATTCCTATCAAAATTCAATTGATGAAATTGCTATCAAAATCCCAGGAAGATATTTCATAGATATAGGGACAATCGTTCTAAAATTTATATGGAAAGGCAAAGGAACTAGAATAGCTAAAACAATTTTGAAAAAAAAGAGTAAAGTGGGCAATCAGTCTATCTGATTTCAAGACTTATTATATAGCTATGGGAGTCAAGACTATTTGGTACCTGCAGAGGGACAGACACATAGATCAATGCCACAGAACTGAGAACCCAGAAAACAGACCCACACAAACATGCTCAAGGTGATTTTTTAAAGCAATTCGGTGGAGGAAAGACATCCTTTTCAGCAAATGGTGCTGGAGCCATTGGACATCTACAGGCAAAAAACGAGCTTCGGCCTAGGTCTCGTGTCTTATATAAAAATTGACTCCAACTGATCGTGGGCTCGAATGTAAAACAAAAACTATAAAACTTAGAAAAAAGATCATAGGAGGAAATCTTTGGGATCTCGGGCTAGGCAAAGGGATCTTAGCCTTGATACTACAAACATAATTTATAAAAGGAAAACTTGATGTATTTGACTCAAAATTTAAAATTTTGCTCTTGAAAGACCCTATTAAGAGAATGAAAAGATGAGCTACAAAGTAAAGAAAATATTTGCAAACCACACATCCATCAAAGGACTACGATTTAGAACATATATTAAACAAACTCAAAACTCAACAGCAAAAAAATCATCTCACAGTTGGAAAATGTGTCCAATTGGAAAATGGGCAAAGGATTTGAAGACACAGTTCACCAAAGAGGACATACAGATGGCAAACAACCACATAGAAAGATGTGCAAACATTAGGGAGATGCGAATTAAAACAATGAGATATCAAAATACACCTCTCAGAATGACTAAAATAAAAAATAGTAACACCACCAAATGCAGGGGAGGATGTGGAGAAACTGAATCATTCATACTTGCTGATGGGAATACAAATGGTACAGCCATTCTGGAAAACAGTTCGGCAGTTTTTTAAAACACTAAACGTGCAACTACCATACGACCCAACAATTTCACTCCTGGGCACTTATCCCAGAGAAATGATGACTTATGTTCACACAAAAACCTATACATAAATATTTATAGCAGCTTTGTTCATGATGGCCCCAAACTGGAAGCAACCAAGATGTTCTTAAATGGATGACTGATTAAACAAATTGTGGTACATCCTTAACACGGACTACTACTCAGGGATAAAAAGGGACAAACTACATTACATGTGACAGCCTGGATGAATCTCCAGGGAATTATGCTGAGTGCGAAAAGCCATTTGCAAGGGGTTACACACTGCATGATTCCACTAACGTTCTTGAGATGATAAAATTATAGAATTGAAGAACAGATTAGTGGCTGCCAGGGGCTCAGGGAAGTTGAGCATCCTTGTGGTGATGGAAATGGGCTCTGTCCTCACTGTATCAATGTCAGTGTCCTGGGTGTGACTTCTAGGGATGGTTAGGCAAGACGTAACCATTGGGAGAAACTGGGTAAAGGGTATGTAGGGTCTCTCTGTATTGTCTCTTACCACTGCATGTGAATCTACAATGATCTCAAAAGAAAAAGTTTAATTAAAAACAAAACAGGGGGCCGGCCTTGTGGCCGAGTGGTTAAGTTCGTGTGCTCCACTTCGGCAGCCCAGGGTTTCTCTGGTTCAGATCCTGGGCACGGACATGGCACTGCTCATTGGGCCAGGTTGAGGCAGCGTCCAACGTGCCACAACTAGAAGGACCCACAACTAAAATAAACAACTATGTACTTGGGGGATTTGGGGAGAAAAAGCAGAAAAAAAAAAAAGATCGGCGGCAGTTGTTAGCTCAGGTATCAATCTTTAAAAAAAAAAGAAGAAGATTGGCAACAGTTGTTAAGCTCAGGTGCCAATCTTTAAAAAATAAAATAAAAAAATAAAAACAAAACAGAGGGCTGGCCCCATGGCACAGTGGTTAAGTTTGGTGGACTCCACTTTGTAGCCCAGGTTCGCAGGTTCGGATTCCGGGCGTGGACACATACCACTTGGCAGCCATGCTGTAGCGGTGACCCACATACAAAATAGAAGATGGGCACAGATGTTACCTCAGGGCTAATCTTCCTCACCAAAAGAGAATAAAACAAAAACCAGAAAACACTGATGCCTGGGACTCACTCAGACTAATTAGATCAGGATCTCGGGGCAGGCGGTGTGGGCTGGGCAGAGAGAGAGGGTACAAGGCTCTCCAGGGGGTTCTACCACTCACCCAGGGCGAGGCACACCTAGGCCAAGGCTCTGGGCTTTAGCTGTGTGAGCAAGCCCTTGGGGCCATAACCCAGGGGCTCGGCCCTGGGTGGCTGAGTGCACAAGGCTTCAAGATCTTCACCCGCCTGGTCTCACTGGAGGGGCTGCTCTTTCCTGTGGGGTTCCTAAAATTAATTTGAAAACCACTGTCCCTGGGGTATAGGCTCTTTGAGCAGAGACATCTTTTGGAACAGAGAGCTTTCTGGGTGACAGAATGCCAATCTCAGACGCTCCTCCGCCAGGCAGCCGACGGCCCCAGTCATGCCAGGCTGGTCAGGCGGGCTGACCCTGGGGCACGAGCATTTATGGAGGGCAGCCACCTTTCAGCAGGCCACTGAGTGGAGCTCCTGGCCGCTGGAACTCATCCTCAGTAGTTATTTCTTGGCAAGACAGCACCCAACCAGCAAGCCTGCTGCAGGCTCAGGGTGCTGGGCTCGGCCCAAGGGGAGGAAGGAGCAGGCACCAGGCTCCACTCCCACCCCCCGGGCCAGACGGGGGAGTCCGTGGAGAGAGGTCAGTGAGACGGAACCCAGACGCCTGAGGAAGCCAGGGAAAGTCCTGGAACTCGGGGATGAGGGTTTTTACCTCCTGAGTGAATGAGAAGGTAATTTAGAGGCTTTCTGGGTCCCTCACAGGAGCCTCAGGCTCCGTCAGGGCCTCCTTCCCCCTGCTGACCATTGAGAAGGTCCTTGGGGAAAGTCCAGGGGGAGTGTCTGCCCAGTGGTCCTTGCGTGCTTACCTTCCACCACTCCACACACATTGGCATACACATCCAATATCTTTTTTCTTCGACTTTGAATCTGCGAAATAAGTTAAGAGAATGTTAATTTTCGGAAAAAGAACCAAATCCTCCATCTCAGTGTGGGCAGAGGGAACTTCTCCGTGATTTCCAATCAGGATGTTGCACTGAGTCCTCACAGGAGCATCCCACCCGAGTCGCAGGGACAAAGCCTTCTCCTTGGGTATCCACCTCAAATGCTCTCAGAGCCCACTGGGGCTGCTTCTCAGGCTCCGCTGGCCTTTCAGACTCACAAGACAGCCAGTGGCCACTCCTGGCGCCAGCCTATCTGGAAGGATGAATGCAGGGGACGCAGCTTGCCAGCGGGCAGCCTGGGGTATTGCAGCTGTTGATGCAGCGGTCCACAGAGCTGGGCGGGTGCTCTTTTCTCCCCAGAGCACGCGGCTCGGTGCAAGGAGAGGAGGCCCACGATGGGCGGGGGCTGAAGTAGCCCCAGATGAAAGGTCCCACGCCCCGCCAGAGCCAGTATCTCTCGTAACAACTCACAGGCCTCCAGGGCCCCTGCAAATGACAGGCCCCACTACAGGGGTCGCTGAACTGGGCAGCCCAGAGCATGGTGTCCCCGTCAGGACCCACAGCAGATCTGTCCTCCCAATCAGGGACGTGTTTACTGTGAGCAGTGTTGCCTAGAAACATAGCTGACCTGAGGGTTGGACCAGGCTGCCGGTGAACCACAAGATAGATTCTCAGGCTGCCTGGGGCAGGGCTGTGCCAATCTCCACCCACGCCCCCACCATGGCCTGCTTAGGTCACAAACCATGTGGACCATTTTTACGCAAAAAATGCATGCTATCTGTATCTATCTATCTATATAGTTGTTTTGAAATATATTGTTTATTTATATATAATATATGTTATGTTTATTTATATATAAAACATACATGTATGTATTTGTCTACTTGGCTATACATCAGTATGTTTACAAAGGTTTTTCCTGTCCTATGATATTCCAAGTAATTTTAACTTCTTCTCTTTGCTTATTTTTCATTTTCTTCTATAAAGCTATATAATAAAAGAACTGTTTACTGTTTTTCAATATCTTGTTTTAAACCTGTCACCTCCTCTCGGTTTCCTGGCCTGAGCTTGTGGGAGAAGCCCCTCGCTCGCGGCGGAGCCAGGTCGGTAAGACAGGCCGGCTGGGCCGCGTGGCTGCGACCTGTCCCCCGCACCGTGAACGCGTGGAGGGCGCGCCAGAGCCTCACCCCAGCCGACTTGGTGGTGGCCGACTTCTCTCTGGCCAAGTGGACCAGCGACAAAAGGCACAGCTCAGGGGGGCCCTGCTTGTCGGAGGCGGGCTCCTCGTCGCTGTCCAGGCTGCGGCTCAGCAGCTGCTCGTTCTCCGATGAAGCGTCGTTCTCGCTGTGGAAACAAGAGGGCGGTCCTCAAGGGTGCCTGGGAAGGGGCAGCCCCGACGTGTCCTCCCAGCGGCAGAGACCATCGGGATGCTGTGACTTGTTCCTCAAGTTCTTACTTAGCAGCTCGTGGGCACGGACACAAGATGAGAAAGACAGCTCCGCTCTCTGCTCCCTTCTGAATGAGGGACCGGGGTGCAGGGCAGCCAACAGGTGCTGCGAGGGGATTCACAGGGTGCCCTGCGAGCTCGTCAGGGTGCGGAGCCGCCAGCGGGGGGGGCCGGCAACTGCTCACCTCTCCACCCTCACCTGGCTCAGCAGAGGTTTCCTGAACATGTTACAGCTCCCTGTATTTAGTGCAGATGAGCACCAAGTTCACCTGTGCGTCTTCAGTCAGCAAACAAGCTTACGTGGCCGGCCCCAACCCTGCAGGCTCTCTGGGACAATGAGAACAATGTCGAACGGAGCCTTGCCTGGAGAGCCCCCTCTTAACTATGGGTGACCTGGCTGGAACGTGTGCATCAGGGGTGGGGGCCTCAGCAGGCCCTGCGAGGGGCTTTGGGAAATCCCACAAGAAGGCAGGTGGCCTCACCGCCAGGGTCCGTAGACCTAGGCACTGTGGGTTACAGCTTAAACTCTCCAAATCATTTCAAATACATGAAAAACAGCATCCTTTTTCATAGGCATCCTGCTTGCTTTCTGCTGTTTGGCTGAAGACGTTTTCCCCTTGTAAAGAATCGTATTTGCTGGTAAGTGGGATACACTTAGGAAGCCACACTCAAACACAATGCTAGAGGCAGGAGGTCACAAAGAAAACCAAATCGATGGGCAAAGCCCTCTAGTCTCAGGGCCTCCGTGGGAGCTGGCAGGCCTGCCTCTGTCCCCACCCAAGAGCTAGTGAGAAGGAAGCACGCCTGTCCCACTGACCACTGCCCCTCACACCGCCGGCCGGCCGAGGCCCGGTGCTCCCTCTGCAGCCGTCCCCAGCACGGCCTCCAGGCAGTGGCCAGGCGTCTCGCTGCACTCCTGGCCTGGCATGCCCAGCTCCCCTCCTGCTCAGGACCCCATGAGGACCCCAGACTTCAGCCTGGGGCTGGGGGCCACCCACGCTACGGCCAAGTGGCTGCCTCAGCTTGACTTACCTCTTGGCTGTCTTTGCTGGTGCTGCCGTCAGCTTCTCGAATTCGTCCTTCTCAGAGAAAATCACCACACCGTCTGCAGGTAAACGGGAAGATTGGGGAGGGAGGAGTTAGAGCGGGCTCCAGCTCTGAGCTCGTCCTCCCCCTGCTTGCTTCCTCCCTAGCAGACCCGCCCGGTGGCTAAACCACACTGCCCTAGGATTAGCGCAATGCGGGTGCGCCAACACCTTCCTGCGGCCTCTGTTCTAAGCGGCACAAGAGCCTAAGCAGTGAGGAGCAGGCTGCTGGGGCAGTGGTGAGAGGGGCAGGTGACATCCACCCTGCACGTGGACAGCCGTGCTCACGGGGGCTCCATCTGCAGACCTGGGGCCTCTGTCTTCTCCTCTTCCTTGCTCACTTGGGCTTCCACAGTCTTCACGGGCTGGCTGGTGCAGCAGGCTGGTTGGAGAAAGAGAAGGGTGTGAGTAGCCAGGCCCACCGACTGGGTAAGTTGACGGAGCTGTCCAGGGGGAGGGGGAGGGGGTGTGGCACTGGGGAGTGGTCACCTGGGGCAGAAGGCTTTGTCTTCATGATGTAGAACATGATGATGAGAACAATGGCAATGGCCATGATGAAGATGGTGGACATGGCAATGATCAGGGCCGTGGCCAGGTGTCCTTGGCTCGAGAGCTCTGCTGGAGTCGGGGAGAGAAGGCAGTGACCGAGGCGGACCCAGACCTCTCCAGAACGCCAGGTTCAGGGTGCTGGCTGTGCCTGGGGAGCTTGTTTTTGGTTCTGCCACTTTGGGACCCGGGGGAGGTGGGATGTGGAGAAGAAGAAAGGCCCAGGAAAAAAGTGTCCTGAAGACACTTCCATCCAAGTCGTTTCCAAGTAAATGTCACCTTCGAGGGCTCAAGATTTTATTCCCGGTTTGGCTGTATTTTATGTCTCCTGCATTTTCAACCTCAGCGTACTAATCCCAGTCCTGGGCACAGGCGGCGCGGAGGCTGGTGCGCCTCTCCTCCACTGCCCACACCACACAGCCTCTTCCTGGCATTTTGCTCAGCTCTCTGATGCTGCCTGCTGTTGAATGTAAAACACCCTGACACTTGTTCTAATTCTCGGACATAAGCAATCAGGATCCTGGTTCTTGTGAGGCGGGATCCAGGTTACCCAGCACCCAAATGGGACGGGGACAGCCTCTAAGGCACCTGGACTGTCTGAGGGAGGCTGCAGCCTGGTTTGGAAAGGAGGCGCCAAGGTGGTAGCGCCAAAGGGCCACCGGTTTGCACAGCTGTCCGCCCTCCCGGGTGAGGTGTGTCTGCAGGAAAACTGGCCTCAGGCTGTCATTTGGGGAGTTTCAGCCTTTGGATGCTGGGCATGGGTAATACAAATGGTTTAACGTTCTCTGTGTTGTGTGCTGCTTCCCCCGGCGTGGGGCAAGTGAGATCCACGTGCTCTAGCAGAGTCTTCCGTCCTGACGCGCTGTGTGCAGCTGCAGGAGGGGCAGGTGTAGGGCGATGCCGAGGCTGGGCTACTGAGCACACAAGGGATCGTGAGGGTACCAGAGCCTCCCCGAGATCCAGGCCTTAAACATGCTCAGATCACGGCCCGCACTAAACAGTGCGAGAGGGAGGGCGAGCCGAAGTGAGGTCTTGCTCTGAGAACCCGTGGACCTTGAGGCCCTCAACCCTTTCCATCCCTAAGGGGTTAGGGAGTGAAATGTAGTTATTAGAAATGAATATTCAAGTGTCGAGATCAGCAGGTTTATTTGAAAGCCAGCAACAGAATTGCTGTGGATGTCAGGCCTGACCAAAGCCCAGGAAGCTGGTCTCCCCTCCCACCCTCACCACTGGCGCCCTGAGCACGGGGAATGTGAATCATGAGAACACTGCCACCGCATGCTAATGGGCCCTGGACACCCACGGGGTGAGCAGTGCCTCTCCTTGCAGAGACAACTACTATCTCCCACCCACTGGGGCACCGCGCATGACTAAATCACAGGCGGGGAGTGAGATGAGGCGGGAGGCTCTGCAGCCGTTGCTGATGATCACCTCTCTCCCTCTTCACTTTCGTCCCAGCCCCCTTCCTCCTAGCTGGCGGCCTCCAGAACATCACACCACTGTATGCTCCGTACCTTTATGGGCGCGCTGGAAAGGAGGGAGGGTGCTGCCAGAGGTGCTGGGGGAGTTGGCAGAAACTCCCGAGGTGGCTCCCGTGCCTGCAGAGAGAACAAAGTCACCGTGCTTTCCTCAAAATGACCTTCTCCAGCCCCACCTTCCAAGACTGAAGCATACGATGCAGCAACAGAGCTAAGCGACCTGGAGGTCTGGATTATGAATGAGCTGGGGATGTGGGAAGGGGAAACATTTTAATTTCTTAGAGTATTTAATAATCCCTAAAAAGCATTCTCAAGGGTGGTTGCTCTTTAAATAAGAAGACACATCTGATAGACAATTCTGCTAAAACTAAAGACTAGGTGCTGGAGAGTTTGCAAACCTCACCAACTCAATTTTCCTATAAATGAGATGACATATATGCAGTCCAGAGAGAGGAGAAAAGGGTGTGTATACAAAAATATCACTGGGGGAAAATAATACTTGAGTAGTTTCTCAATTACATAGACCAGGGATGTATTTTTATTTTTTTATTTTATTTTTGTGCTAAGGAAGACTCACCCTGAGCTAACAACTGTTGCCAGTCTTCCTCTTTTTGTATGTGAGCCACCGTCACAGCATGGCCACTGATAAATGGGTGGTGCAGGCCTGTGCCCGGGAACCAAACCCAGGCCACCGAAGTGGAGCGTGCTGAACTCAACCACTAGGCAGCCAGGGCTGGCCCAGGGATGTGTTTTTAAAACTTTTTCTAGTTATAAAAGTAATTTATGCTCATTATTAAAAATCTGGAAAAAATTGGAAAAGAAAGAAGTAAAAAAATCACCCACAGCTTCACAGTCTGAAGTTGACATTTTGGTGTATTTTCCTCTAGGATTTTTCCTATGATACATTTTTTAAATATTAAATGACCAAATTGTTTTAAGAGCGGAGATGAGCTTTGCCTTCCCTCAAAACTGTGATCCATAAAACTCCCCTTCTATGTAAAAAGTGTCACTTAGCAGGGGTGACATGGAGGCTGATTCACTAAGGAATTGTTCAGTTTAAACAAACAAACAGAAATGTTCTGCCACAGAAAAGATGACATCCTGATGGTTAACCTTCCTTTAGGCCAGACTTTAGTTTTGCAATTAATAAAAATGATCACGTGGGCCTGCCCGATGGCCTACTGGTTAGGTGCGCATGCTCTGTTTCAGTGGCATGGGGTTTGCAGGTTTGGACCCTGGGCGCCGACCTAGCACCACTCGTCAATCCATGCTGTGGCTGCGTCCCACATAAAATAGAGGAAGACTGGCACAGATGTTAGCTCAGGGACAATCTGCCTCACACACACACACACACACACACACACAAAAGGTCATGTTTCAAATAAGTTTCTTTGTCTCGCTTGGTCTCTACCAGTTCTGGAATCTTCACGAAGTGGCTGTGCCCTGTGGCCAACTGGCTTCTGAGCAAGGACAGGTAAGTGCCTCCCTGGAATCAGCACTGTTGGCCCCCCAGCCAGCCCAGCAAGGAGGAATGCATCCTCACTGGACCCTGGTCAGCCTCCAGCGAGGCTTCCGTGAGAAACGGGGATGTTTTCTTTAAGAGAAGGTTCTCGGGAGAAACGCAGACGCCTGCTCTGTGAGCGGTATGTCTAAATTGCTTGCGGTGACCACGAAAGTCCTGCTGAGCTATCCTCTGTCTGTGTCCAGCAAGTAGAGAAGGTCACAGGGGAGCAGGGTCACAAACTGGTGATCCTTCCACTGTGTGACACAATAGCATACCCTACAGGTGAACCATGGCGGGGCTGTGGTGGGAACGCACAGGCTGAGGCCTTGCTGCTCGGGTGACTGTACTTCTGGGAGGTGCCGCACAGCTCAGGGCCAGCCCACGGCTCGGCATAGACATGCTAGTGCGTGAGCAATGTCATCTGCTGGCTGACGGGCAAAGACGCAGGCTCTGGAGGCGACAGCCCACCTCCTTATGCCCTCCTCAATACCCCCGGGGCACAGGCTGACCTGGGAGCCCAAGGAGGCCACTGGCACCATCCTGTTGCCCCTCCAGCCCAAACTTGGAGCAGTTTCCATGTTGCTGAAAACATAGCACTTGCTTAGTCAGAGCTCTTAAAGACAGCATGTCTCCTCTCTGGAGATCTGTGCTTCTGGAGCCCAGGGACTACTTCTCTGAGCTCTTGGCCTTTGCCCCTCAGCCTGCTCTCTGTCACCTTCAGTGTTGCCTCAAATGTGGGAATGGGTCCGACCCAGGCCAGCACATAATGGACGGGCAGTCCCTTCCCTCTGTGGGGCACCATGAGTTCTGTGATTCCCGCCTCCTTCCTTCTTTCTTCTCAACTGCTGGTCACTGGGATGCTTCTCAGCTCTTCCACCAAAAGAGAGGGGTGCTGAGGGGTGGATGCGCACCAGCAACAGGCCAGCCCGTGGTGCCTTCAATCAACAGAGACCCTGGAGGTGACCTGCTCAGAACAGAGGCGGGCATGTCCTGTACCCCAGCCCGCCAAGCTCGTGTCCCTGGGCCTCACTTCTTCTTTCTGGAATGGCGGCCGGTGATGGGACAGGGAGCAAGAACGCAGGACGTGGGCCGTGGTGGGTGGCTGGGGAGGAATGACGACTCCCCACACCTGTGGTTCCCTGCTGGTGTCCAGAGCCCAGAGACAGGTTTCTTTGCCTTTCTGGAGGATAAACAGAAGCCTTAGCCTGCCTCCCACCCCAAACTTATGATCAATCTCTGCTTTTTAATGGAGCTGTCTCACCTGGCCTCAGAACCGGTGGCCCATGGGGGAACATGCTGGTGGCAAGGTGCAAGCCCCTCAGGAGAAGGAGCCAGTCTCACCACAGCTGCTCAGAGTGGGCGGCAGCCTCTTACTGCTCCGGCCTGGGCGGCCGTTTGAGAGCCTCTGCCATGAGCTGGCTGCGGGTCTCGAGACCCCCTTGCCCTGCGCTGGGGGCAGCCTATCACACTTCATCCAGTGATGGGAGAAAAAAGGACATGGGGCATAGCTCAAGCAGAACCTGATCTCTTTTTTAAAAGCAAACCGGACACTGAAAACGAGGCTGATCTGTTTGGTGAGGGGCTCAAGGGAGCTTAAGCTACGTTGCCAGGAGAACAATATTCATAGGCTCAGTTTGTGGACGTTTGTCATCTCTGTCTCTTCTTGTCCTGCTCTGCCGGGGCTTGTGGCTGAGGCAGGGTGACAGGGCTTGGGGCTCGGGATACAAATACGCCCAGGCCTGTGGCCTGGAGGGGGACAGTGAGAGCAGCCTAACAGGACATGGACATATGAAATGCCTTTGCACCCACTGGCGGGGCTGGTTACACAATGACCTCATGGAACAATGCTCGCAGGGAGACAAAGTCAGTAACACACATCTACTACGCCAAGTGGGTGCCGCCTGCCCTCGGTCAGGTGGCAAGCTGGGCTGTTCCTCCACCCTGACTTGCTAGACGTTTTCCTCTCAAGCAATCTCCAGCAAATGTCAACTGGACAGCCCTGGGCTGGAGCGCCGAGCAGGATGTTCTCTGGCTGCTCGCTGAGCCCGGAGCTGATCAGAAAAGCATTCTGTCGTGGGCACATCTGAGGGTGAGAGGGAAGGTGGGCAGGAAGGCTGCATGGAGTAGAAGCCCATCTCTGTGGGCAGGTGCCCTCAGGACAGCATGCCGTCGCCACCAGGACCCTGCACAGCACCTTCTCCTGTTCCAGGTTCTGCTCTAGTCTAACGGGGATTAACTCAGCACTCACAAAAATATTTGGCGTCTGGGAGGTTTCCCTCTGTTCCAACACATGCCGTGTAGTTCTGGTTCATTTGGCCTCCTTGGAATGAATAGCTGACAAAAGTGTTTCTCATTGTTGCTTCTGTTAGGTGGTCAACGACTGATCCATCTTACCTTCCCTAACGCACTGGAGCGCAGCTTTGAATAAGCAAAGATGAAGTATTTTATAAGAGGGGTAAAGGAAGGACGGTGAAAGCTGTAGCCCCAGAAATTTCCACACAAGCTCTATATTAAAAGGAAAGCAAGTGGGGTCTGGGTCTGCCTGCTCCGGGCTGCACTGAGGCCGCGATGCCTCGGGAGAGCAGCACCGGGAGGCGGGCGCTCTGCCGGGTGTGCGGGCACCTCCCCCAGGAGGACCTGGAGAACCGCGCCATAGGGCTAAAGGTAGTTCTACCGCTATTTAAGGCGATGAGCCGCTTTACTGGGCCTTTGCAGTTTGTCAGTTCACAATTTATCAGTATGTCGGTACGTATCAGAGACTGGGATTCTCTTCTACAGAGGGCACGCTGTTTGAATTTTTAGCAATGATTTATTTGTTGATCCTTGCAGCTGTCGATCAGATTCTCTTCTACAGAGGGCACGCTGTTTGAATTTTTAGCAATGATTTATTTGTTGATCCTTGCAGCTGTCGATCAGATTCTCTTCTACAGAGGGCACGCTGTTTGAATTTTTAGCAATGATTTATTTGTTGATCCTTGCAGCTGTCGATCAGGTGCCCCGAGGCTGTTGCTTTTGCTGAGCGCCCCCTGGTGGTAGAGGCTGGAACAATTGGCGGAGCCGTTAGAACCTGGATGCTCCAAGTGGGGTCCCGGGAGCTTGCTAAGAAACGCATCTCCCGCCCTACCCCAGGCCTGCTGCATCAGGATCTGTCTCTTAATAGGGCTCCTGGTGATGTGTGTGCGCTTTCACATTTGAGAAACACTGTTAGAAACAGCTGGAAACTGGCATTTGGGGAGGGCAAGCCTTCACATTTGAGTGACACTACATGTGGCATCTGGACGGAAGTATGCCGCAGCACTCCTAGTCACAGAGTGGACTTCTCCAAAGGGCAAGTCCATCTCGGACTTGACGCAGGGGTCGTAGTCACTGACGAGTAACAATGAAAACCTGCCGATGGAACAGTTGCCAGGGGCCATGCCCAGCCCGTCTCATCCACCCTCCAGCACCGTGTGGGAGCGGTTCTGGCGGGCCGGCGTCCCAGCCGAGGCGAGGAGGCGCAGGGGCAGCCGGAGGCGGAGCTGGCTCACCTGGGGCTGCGGCTTCCCCGGCGCAGAGGGCCGGGGTGACCGCGGACACCCTCGGCGCGTCCTCGCGCAGCCTCAGAGACAGGCGCCCCATGGTACGGTTGAGGAAACTGAGGGAGGAAGCAACTTTCCAGAGTGGAACTCGTAATGAGACCCAAATCTGCCGGCACACGCCGTCTCCCTGTGTCGCCCCACGCGCCCGGGCCCTTACCGCGCAGGTGCCTGCGGGCGGCGGCCCTGAGCGCCGCTCTCAGGACGCGGGAGGGAAGAACACCGGAGACTCCGGTTGCAGCCAGTGGGTCTTGCTCTTTAACGGAAAAATAACTGCCATCGACTTGTCAGGGCACAAACAGCGATGGCATTGGAGGTGGCCAAGGGCGGGGAAGGCTGCTCGTGTCCTGCAACCTGCCGCTTTCCGGCCCGCAAGCCACAGGCGGGCGAGGAGGGCGCCTGAGCGCCGGGCGGCCGAGCACCGGGTCCTCTCTGGTTAGGGAGGAGTCGTCATTTACTCTTGCTTCGTGCTTTCAGCCTTCACAGCCTTTTGTGCACGGATATGTCAACCCCGTTGGTTGAGAGGATGTGATGTTCTCAGGAGAGAAAGCAAACCGGGGGAGGGTTCCTGCTTTCACGAACGCACGGGTGCTACGGCCGAGTCCCAGGCCCGCCCCAAGTTCCACATGCCTCTGCTTTCATCAGCGGTGACAAGGCCCAAAGGCAGGACCAATAGGAACCCAACGCCGTCCTCTGCTTTCCCTCACGTTCCTTGGAGGGGCTGGAAACTAGAATGATTCTTATTCCATTTGAAAAGTAACTGTGCGGTGCTTTGCCGTGTCTCCTGAGGGTTACGTGGATGGGCCAGGTGGCACTAACAGCACTGCGGCGGCTCACCCTGGGCCTCAGCTCACTCCGGCCACACAACTGCCTCACGTCTGGCAGATGAGAAAACTGAGGCTTGATAACGCGTCCACGTTAAACAGGATTTTAAACCCAGGCAGCGATGGTCGAGAGCAGGGACTGCTCACACCTCATACGGTACACCCGCGGCTCCCAAAGTGTGGTCCTGGCCTCCCAGGGGAACTTGTTGGAAATGCGCATTCTTGGCCCCACCGGGTCCTGCTGACCCAGCGGTGGGGCCCAACCCTGCGTGATGTAGGAGGCCCCGCTGGGGCACTCTAACCATAGCGCCACGCGGAGAGGCCGCCAGCGCTCTAAGGAGGAAAGAGCAACGCCTCTGCCCAGAGGGGACGAGCGGGGAAGAGAGAGCGCGCGCGGGAGGGGGGGGGAGGGGGGGCTAGGGGGGAGGGGAGAAGGAGAGAGGAGAGCGCATGCTAGTGGAGGGGAGGGGAGGGGAGGGGAGGGGAGCCCCCGGGGGTGCAGAGAGCTGCGGGGCCTCCTTTGCTGAGGAGCTGCTGGGCGCTCGTTGGGCTGTGTCCCCCCGACTACGGCAGGCGGGCGCCCAGGGCTCTCTCCTGCATAGACGTCTTGCTCTCGGTGGCCGGTCTCCCTCTCCCCTGCCCCAGTCCTGTTCCATCCCTAACGGGGATGTGCGCCTCTGTATCACACGCTTTCCCGGGGACGTGCCAAGCTCTCTGGGGGTTTGTATAATCCACTACTCAGTGACGCGGTATGGACGGTGTGAGCTTCGCTTTTGCAGGGCCCAGGTAAATCTTATCAAAACCGAAAGGAGAGTCTCAGATTGGAGCCAAAGGAGCTCTCGACCGCCTCCGACCGTGGGCTCGGGGAGGGCAGGGCCTGGTGGGACCTGGGCAGCCAGCCGGTGACTTCGGAGTCCTGACAATAAGGCTTCCCAGCCTTCCTGGCTTTCCCAGGGTGGGGCTGCTGAAGGCAGCCCTGTGAGTTTGTCTGTCTTTATGGAGGCTGTGGTCATAACCAGCCTTTCTAGTTCTATCTGCAGACTCCAGAACAGGAGGCCTGGGTAAAAAGATCTCTGGATGGAGGACCCTGCAGAGGGAAGAGCAGACCCCAGAGGTGGAGAGAATAACTGTGTGTCCACACTTGCGACTCTGACCTAGACGGGGCTCCATTCTCTAGGTGACTCGTGAAGCTCGGTGCTGGTTCTTTGCTGGCCTCCTTCAGGGCTGGACTCTACAAACTGGAGCTGGTCTTCGGTTAGGCAGTGAAGGGCTAGGGGTTAGGAGGCGGGGCGCTTGTTTCACAGTCTCTGGACTCAGGGGCTTTGCTTTCTCCCCATGCGATAGACCTCACTGTTGGACAGAGAGGACAGAGGCGCTCCTCCTGGACTTGGAGCTCTTCCGCTGGCCAGGTGGCTGGCAGAGCCCTTGTGTGTGAGAGCTTTCAAACGAAAGGGCGCCCTGGGAAGGGCTGCTTTTTTTCCAGGCTCCACAGGCAAAGAGTCTTTTCTAAATAGGCAGTGAGTGTCTGACAGCTTCCCAGGTGGGAACTCTATCCCAGAACTATCCAGTATTGAATCCTGAGGATTCCCAGCAGAAGACGTCAGTGATGGCATCGGACTTCACCTCAGGTCCTGCTGGCAGCCTGGCCCTTGGGCCTCCTCTGATTTCTGAATTAATTAGCACCTGGCTGGGTAGGAACCCTCAGCTTTAAAGACATGCAAATCCAATGTTGCCAGGCTCCTCTCCTGAAGCCATTTGGAAGGGAGAGGAGGGCCCTCCCACAGGCAGCCATGCCCCACTGCCCAGAGCACGCCGTCCAGCTGAACCTTTGGGTGAGGGGAGGTGTGCCCCCTCTTCTGACTCTCCTTCTCTTCCTCCTAGCACTCTTATGATGCAGGCCCCTATGCTATGTCCTCAACCGGATTCTTGTGAGAAGATGGGGTACACAGGGCCTCATGGAGAGCCAGGGGAGGCAGGGTCCCACGCTGCCCCTGTGCCCTCTGATGCCCCAGAGTGGGAGCAGAGCTGGAGGGAGGGCAAGGCAAGTGCTCCTGCCGCCCAGGGACCAGACTCCCAGTCTCCTCCCCACCGCCCACCCATCCCACCTTCACTAGTGTCTCTCCAGACCACAGAGCCAAGAGACCAACACGACATTGTCAGAGCCCCAGTTCCTGGCCCTTATCAACAGATGCTGTGAAAGTCAAACCAAAATGAGAAGAGGAAAGAAACAGCCTAAGGTGGGATTTCACACTCCTGAGACTCATTGTTTACATGTGCTTTGTGGAATCCATTTCATTAACTGCGGTTTAAAATATATATATCTGAGAACTTACATTGTCTGGCACTTTGCAGTGCTTCACAAAATGCCTTGGCATCTGCGGTCTCCTTGGTTTCTCCAGTAATCACATGAGATGGATTTTAGTACCCACACATTACAGATGAGAAAACCAAGGCTCACAGGGGTGATGTGACTCATTCAAGGTAGCTGGTGACTGACCTGAGTCTCTGACTCATGGTTCAGCCATAGCAAAACTCTCTTCTTGGACCTGCTGCCTGACTGGTCAGGCCGTGGGAGCATTTTCGGTTACGTGTTCACTGTAGTTAATTTGTCTGGGTGCCAGGTTTGGCGAAAGATACCAGTATGATTCTGATGGAAGGATGGAGAGTACTCACACTCCTTGGTGTTGGGCGGCGCCAGGAGGCAGGAGTAGCAGACCATGCCGTAGATGTTCCTGGGTCTGTTCTCCAGCATGTAGTAGCTGTGGGGAGGGCGACACGAGACAAAGCAGCTGAGGCTGGAGTCGCCACAAGCGAGCACTGATCATGAGCATGCCCACGATCAAAGCCAGGCAGGAGACAGACCTGTGGGGACTGGCAGCCCCGTGGAGCCAGCAGCCCATTTTGACCACTGAGTTTCCTTGGGGGTTTGCAGCCTGTCTTGAAATGGAATATTCTTTTTGCAATCGGGGCCAGTTTGAGCCTTTCTTTTAATCTCTCCCCTTTTTGGTTCCCTTCACTCATGTATTTGTTTGGGGTGTGTGTGTTATCACCATCTTCATCATATCATCCACCAGAATTAGCTGCATGCCCACCACATGTAGGCTCGTTTAGCTCTCTGGTGTACCAACCAGGGAGCCAGGCCCCTGGAGGAGGAGCACCCTCTCTGTGAGTGCCCATTGCAGAGCCTGTGGCCTGGTGCGAGTGCTGACAGATGTGTCTATGAGCCCCTGGGACACTGGACCTCCCGGACTACCTGAACACTTGCTAACCAAGATTGAACAGAGCCGTCCGGCAGAACATGTCTGCAGCAGACAAAAAGACAGCAGCAATGTCTAGAGAGGTCACCACAGAGGGCCTTAAGGTCAGCCTGAAATACCACCAGGCCCTACCTGCAATGCGTTTGCTTCCTCCTCAGGAAGCATGTGACTGAAGGCACCTATGTAAGTTTGCGCTGGGATTGCACACACTTAAAGAAAAGGGCAAGTCATTCACACAAGACTGTCTGAAGTCCTTTAGGCCCCAACGATGTTTCATTTTATCTTTCGAGCTTCTTGATGTCCGCTTGCCAGCCCCACGACCACGCGACTCAGAAGGCCCTCCTGGTAGAGCTCTGCGCCCTGGTCGGAGTTCTCTGCAGCCACGCCGCCTCCTGGCCCTGGGCCTCCTCCCCCTGCCACTCACAGCTCAGGCTCCTTTCCACCTGCAGGCTTTGGCACTTCTCTTGGCGCGTGCCCGTTTTCCATAAACACACATTCAGCGGTGATCATGGAGTCATTTATCACATTGTGAGAAGTCAATTAATAAAGTGAGCTGGTGCCAACGTTTTCCCTTATTACAACTCAGGAGATGAAAAATCCCTCTCTGCTATTGGATTTTTCTGTGTTTGTTTCTTAATCTCTTTTTTATTAGCCGTGCACACCCAGGCGTCTGCTGACGGCAGCGGTAAGTGGCAGCGTGGTGCAGGAGTGCTGGGGGCAGTCTTGGACTCCAGCCACCGTGAGCTGGACCATTACCAGTAACATTAGGATCATAATTGCCTGCCCTTCCTCAGGGCCTTTTATCCTCAGAACCCTATGTTTCTTGTAAACATTAATTAACCAATCTCAAAACACCCCTCAGAGAAGCCACAACAGCCAGTTTTATAGTTAAGCCTTCTGGAAAAGCCTCTCTCAAACACATACTCTGCCACCTCCAGAAGCCATGCACCCAGGAAGCAGGAAGGGCTACTGGGTCCCACCATGCATCTGCTCCCAGGAGGGGGTGCATGTCTGCGTGTGGCCTCACGCGGGTGACAGGCTCCAGCTCAGCCCGGCCAGCCCCCATGCAGCTTTCTGATGCCCACACTCAGTATAGCCTCTTGGGACTACTAGTTTCTGCTCTTCTCAACTCCACCTCCAGTGTATCTTGTCTCACTAGATTGTGATTGTCTCTCCCCCTGGCCTGGGAGTACACAGGGGCAGCCTTGTTCATATCTGTATTTCTAGTACCATGTGCTGGGTACTGAGGAGGGAAGGCTCTAGGCAAGTATTGACTGGGAGAGTGCGAGGCTGACAGAAGCCTGGAGGACATTTTGTGCATCTTTCCTCCCTTTTCTAACAGCAGAACCACAGCTACGCCCACCCTGGTTAACACTTTGGGCGCTGAGCTCTTCCGTAGATGAAGATCCACAGCCACCGGGTGGGTGTAGAACATCTGGGCTTAGAGCTGTGCGCCCGACGGGTGCGGGGCCGCCATGCTCTGTCACAGCTAGGGGGCCACTCCATCCCGGGGCAGTCTGCTACCTCTTCTTGGCACACAGGCACCTTCTCGCTCTCTGTCCCAGTGGGCACCTCTCTCTCATTCCCCCAGAGGCTCTGCATGGCCATGGCTGTGCCTCCTGCCCTGACAACGTGTCTGGACCAAGCTGGGTAATGTATTAAGTAACTTAGCAAAGAAAGAATATTGAGAAGCTATGCATTTTAAAAAATATGTTGGCTGCAGGAGGCTGCTGTGGGATTGTACTGCCTGACTCAGTGTGAGTGTTAAATACCTTACACATTTCCTGACACGCATTGTTGCACAGAACATTTTTAAATGTAAGATTTTTCTCTTTAGGACTAACTGCAACTCCTCATGGTATGGTTCACATCCACGTTGCTCGCCCTGGGCTAGACAGGAGTGGAAAATAATTGCTTGGCTTCTTCCATCTGACAGATTTTCATCAACTTGGAGCTGGGTGTTCATTTCACGATCTCTGCCCCCACTAAAGCATATCGGGTCCCATTGTCTTTGTGTAAAGTCTAATTTCCTACACTCTGATCTATATTTTGACTATTCTCTAGCTGTTTTTTTCCTACTGTTCTTCAAGGGTTGATTAAAATGAGTAGCCCAAGACAAGATTCAGTTTAAGTGGGGCCTCTAGAATCTTCCGTGTAGGGATTGACTTCCTCCGAGTCAACAGGTATATAGATTTTCCCCAAAGATTTCCTTTTCTCAGGGCTCCTAGGCGTGTAATGGATGCCACTGAGCCATCGGATGCTTCTTTTTCCCTCTACAACATTGGAATGCAGGACCAACGGCTGTGCCCTTCATCTCGTCCTCCAACCATCCTCGAACTCCCTCACTTGAAGGGAGTGGACAGTGTGGAACCCAGCCAGATGGAGCTTGTCCAGTGGGTAAGATGATGCCTGGGGGAGGTTGTGAAACCTACCCTCTCCTCTCTTCCTCCTGTGTTTTGTTCGCTGGTCCTCCCACACAAGCCTTGCTCAACAGGAAAGCCCCGGGTATCGCTCCTTGTTCAGCGAGTGTCTCAGCCACATATGATACAAAGCAGAGAGGGCAAAGGAGGAGAGAGTGCCTGCCAAACCACAGGGCGAGAGGGCCAAGGCAACCTGTGGCGGTACAAGACAAATATGAGGCGGTCTGCATCACAGCCTGGGAGCCACACAAACTTGGGAATGAAAACAGCCTTTCATTGGGCTCACAGCGCTGACCTGCCGAAACTCCTTGTAAGCCTCCTCTGTGACAGAGCATGAGAACTCCGTTTTGTTCTCTAACCCTAGGGCATGTAGCAGGAAGCGGGAGACCTCCGGGGTCCTGCTGATAAAGCACCAAACTCGTCAGAGCTGGGATGGGGAGGCTGGGGACCGGAGATGCAGTGGGCCTTCTATTTTGGTGGCCTTGGGGTTGGGAGTGATTTATTTGAACATCACGCTGCAGAGCCAAATGGGAAAGTGCCTAAACGTTTTCACCTCCATGGAGCACTGTGAGGACTCCCGGAGAGGCCTGCTGAGCTGTGTCTCCCGCAGGATACCCTCCATTCACTCAGCAAGCGCTCAGGGCCTCTCCTTGTCCTGGTGCTGAAGACAAAGGGTGGAATAAGCAGGTTGCTGTTCTCAGGAGCAGGGAGGGAATTATTCAAGATTTCTGAGCCGGAAAGATCCTTTTAAGAGCACAGATGGCAGCCTCCCCACTAATTCTATAGATGGTCATCCATAACTTTTGAAGCCTTCTAGAAGCAGGGAGCTCACGACCATTCCATTGTCAAATTTCTTTCTGGTAAAGGTACTGGGACGAAGCAAATTGTCTTCATTGTCCCAGAACAGCCTTTCTGGTGACCGAGCCAGCACCTGCCTGTAGGACAGGGTTATTTATGGCATTGGTCCCAGGGCTTGTCCTTTCTGGCTAGAAAGTCAGTGGATCAAAGTAAGAATGGAATAGGCGGCTCAATGTGCACACTCACTGCCCCTTTTGGATCATCTGCAACAAAATCATGGCTGAATCTCACAGACCTCCAGGGGACATGCACCAGTCTGAAGTGTGGCAGGGTGAGAGCCAGCGACGCTAATGGGGGAGGCTCCACTTTGCACCCACCCCCCTTCTGCCTCTACAAAGCTGCCTCACTGGCAGGGCCTATCTAGACCAGCGGCTCCCACACCGTTAATGTGTAGATGACTTCCAGATCCTGACCCTCAGCCCAGATCTCCACTCTAGCTTCTACCCGTTTATCTGTCTATGTGTTAGATGTCTTGGTCTGCATGTCTGAATATCACAACCACTTCAAATTCCACACATAGCTCCTCCATCCTCCCTCCGCCGCACCATCGAAATTCCTCTTCTTCCTGTATTCCTGTATTCCAAAGAGGCCTTAGCAAATGGCATCTCTGTCCACACAGCTGGCCAAGGCAGACATCTGAGTGTCCTCTTCAAAATCTCCTCCCCTACACCCCCTACACACTTGGTCTGCAACTCCAGTCACTGCCATCTTCCAATACACTCTGATTTTTCCTCTCCCTCCACCCTCCAGTGTTTCCTCCTTGCCCCAGGTCTCACTATGTCCCACCTCATGCCTGATCCATGGGCTCCCATCTCTTCCCTAGTCAGCTTGTTTTCCTTACTGTTGCTAAGAGGATCAAGGTACAGCCTGACTGCGTCCTACACCAGCTTGGAAGACTGTATGGTGACCCGCGTCAGCATCACGATGAAGACTTGAGCCTTCAGCCTCACCTTCCAGAGCCATTTCCACTGGCCCCTGCCCCCATCGCTAGTTCCTCTGTACTCCCTGAGAGCACTTGCCACTCGGCCCCAGGGACCGACAGCCCTACATCCTGTGGGTGCCACCTCTTAGTGCTTTGGCATGAGCATTTCCGCTTGGAGAGCTCTGTCCTCCTCCCCGTCCCAGCATCACCCCAAGAAGCCTTCTAAGACCCCTCCAGACACCTCCCTAGCCACAGAGCGAGTGGGCCTTGCTAGACTTCCTGAACTGCGCGTGCCTCCCACACTGACTGTGGGTACTACTTCCTCGTCTCACTCTTCCCCTGGAAAGAGGCACCACGTCTTTCCGCTTAGTCTCACTAGGACCTACTTTGTAGGTTCTTAGTTCAAAGGCTTACTAAAGTAAATGTGGGAGCTGTTATGCTGGGTTGTGTTGGGTCAGTTCTTACACTGAGAGGCTCTCAAAATAAGTTCAGGTTTTGCAAAGAGGGTTATTTTCTTTGTGAGGCAAGCATGGCAAGGTGTGCGTGCTTTTCCTTGGCACATCTACAGTTAATCCATGAAACTCTATTTCTTTCATGAATCATGTATCTGCATCAATAAAAAGCAGTCAAGTTGAAGTTCTAGGAAGTATTCAAGTTATCAGAGACTGCTTCTAGCTCTCTCCTGTCCAGATCCTACTGAATTTCTCTCATTCATGGCCAAGCACAGCATCTGCGCAGAGCAGTCCCTCAGTAGACGCTTGCACCATTGGGTGGGAAGGCATTGATTCTGCTGCTTCTAACACGCTCCTTTTCATGGAGCCCCCACAGCACAATATCCTCAACTAAATTAACTACTCAGCTACAGAACTTTTATTGTTATCATATTTCCCAAGAGAATAGTCTAATATCTTCCTTGGGTATAGCTACCAGCTCTTTTGCATATTGAAAAATAGTGTTCTGTGATAATGTTCCCCTGCTTTCTTTATTCATTTGACAAGTATGTTTGAATCATCCTTTGTGTCAAGGACATTGACAGAGAGCTGTCCAGCAGACTTTTGGCTATGCAGGCCTATAGCTCGGGAGGTAGGCCTGAAACAACCAGGGAGAAAACTAGGGAGCCTGGAGATGGGGGGCCGTCACCAGCAGAGAGATATTGGTGGAAGCCAGGGAAATGGATGCGTCTCAGTAACAAATATAAACTAAGGTTAATTTCTGCAAGTGTAAAATATCTCCTTATTTTAAAGAGTTATTCAGTTTCAATCTATTTCTAAATAGGTAGCTCTTTCTGCCTTTTTTGTATTTCCTTTGTCTCATAGACTTCTTCCAGCCCAATGTTCTCATTTGGATATATCCTTCTTATTTTCTTCCTCCTCTTAATTCAATGCAGCAATCCAGGGAGATAACATGTGCACAGGTAGGTTGTAAAGTATAGTGCAACATTCACTGCCATCACCTCCACCACCTCTACCTCCACCATCACCACCTCCATCATGACCACCACTGCCTCCATCATCACCACCTCCATCATCACCATCACCTCCACTATCTCCATCACCACCAACCATCTCCACCACCTCTCTCTCTTCTGCCACCGTGTAGCCTTCACCCCTACTTTTGGTTTCTTTCTGTAGCCCTTGCAAGCATTATACGGCGTGGCCACTAGAGGGAGGCAGAAGCAACAGCCATAGCTTGGTATTTATTGGGTGTTAAAGCTGTGCTTTCCTCATCTCAAGCGGAACTTGCTGTGTGTCTTGCCTGTAAGAAGGAAGATTTTATCTTTCTATCTTTCAGGCTAATTGCATTTTCACTTTGCTTTTTTGGTAAGACTTTTGATACCTAATAGAATTGTGGTGGAATTATAGATACCATATGACTCAAATATTCCTATCAGTAGCTCTTACCCTCAATTTTTTCCAGAATACTAAAACTACTAAAAATTATACTTTTGTATGGGTTTTAGTTTTCTTTTCTCCAAAGCATTCCACATGTGTCACCTCATTGTAAGTGTTCAACAAATCCGTTTGATTTGGGTAGTCAGAGGATATTATTATGACTAATGTCCACTTAGGAGATGCAGGAGCTGAGCCTGGATGGGCTGCATCTCCTGTGAAAGGTGGCAGGACTCGCCATCCTAGATGCCATGCTTCCTGGCTGCAGATGTGTACCCTCCTTCTTACTGAGCTGCCCCCTCTAGACTGGGACAAACTGCAGGAGTGAGGCTATGCTGCAGGCCTGAGGTGCTCACGTTGACAGGGGTCCTCACCAATGGGACATGCAGGGCTTTCTGCAGAAAGCATCCTGGGGTGCATTCTGGCAGTGCCCATGCTTACCCAGGGAGACAAGGTCCACACTCAGCGTCATTCTCCATGTCCCCTGGTGTCAGCACGGTGGCTCGGAAGAAGCCTTCGCAGTCTTTGTGGCGCCTGCATATCTGGTAGCCTCCTTTGGAAAACTTCTCCGCCGGGCAGGGGACACAGCCATAGTCCTCATCTTTGGTGCCGTAGCCACAGGACTGGCCGAGGAAGAGGACAGAGGATGCAGGTGAGTATAGCGGCTGCAGCTGCCATCACCAGAACCGCGGTCCTTGGGCACATTGGACACACGGGGCACACTGGGCATACCCGGCACTGATATAGCTTGGAGACCACACGTAGAACAAAAAAGCTAGGGTGAGGACACCCACATGAAGGAGGGGGAGCTCACCACGCTGGGGGATGTGGCCTGACAGCCGGGCAGGGGGCCTTACCAGGTAGGGCTCCTCCCCCGGCCCACACTGGGGACACTCGTGGCACAGCCCAGTGGTCTGGTTGTAGTACTCATTCTCTCCGCAGTTGGAGTATTCTGCTCTGGTGGAGCACATCAGAGACACCTGCCACAAGAAACGGGTTGTTTCGTCCTCCAGACCTCCTTGCAGGCACACATAGTTACTCAGGGTCAGTGCCCAGACGTCCTCGAGGTCAACTGAGGACGAAGCCTGCTGGTAGGGGCCCTGCTCAGTCAGTTGGTGCTCATCTGGTGTCAAGTCCCCGGTACCTTTAGCTAATAAGCTGGGCCAGCCACCCGCTTCCCCCAGCTGGCCTCACTCCTGCCTCCCTCACCCCCTGCTCTCAGAAACCCCATCCCATCCCCAAGGCCTGCTCCAAACTCTCTTCACTCATGAAATCTTTCTCTCGTTCTCTCCAAAGACACGGACGAGGCGGCCCCTTCCTGGAGCCTCAGAACACAGCTCCTCTAGTCACATGGTCCTCTTCTCCCCTGAGAGGGACCCCCATGATGGAGCCCTGCGTCTTTCTTTCTCAGCTATGTGGCCCACAGGCATGGCGCTCACTACACAGGCACTGGGTTGTGTATATCGCAACATAAATAAGCATTTAAGGACATTTCTATCGATGGAATCCTATAAAGGGAGCCACCCACCAGAGGAGTCTAATTAGAACTGGGGCACTATTCAGGGCTTTGCAGGTGTCATCTCATTGCGCCCTCAGAAGAGTTTGGTGAAGGAGGTGCTCTTATCATTGTTCCCATTTTACAGCTGCGGACACTGAGACTTAAGTGGCCAAGGAGCTGGCCCGAGGTGGTGTGACTAGTGAAAGCCACAGCTGGACAGGAGCTTCCACTGGGACTCCACCAGGGCTGCCACGGGCTCTCTCTGGGGCGAGGGTGCAGGGCGGGCAGGAGCTCTGACACACTTACCACCAAGACGGGGAGCCAGAGTGTGCTCTTGCAGCCTCCCACGTGGGCCATCCTCGCCTGCGGGTTCACCTGAAAGACACACTTCATCAGCACCAGTGGTGCCTGCAGGGCTTGGGCTGCTCCATGACTGACGGGCTGTGGCCCAGCCCGTAGCCTGGGTCCAGCTGCCTTCACTGCATCCTGCTGGGTATGAGGGACCTCTCAGCAAACAGAGTGGGGAACGAAGACACTCGAAAAGTAAAGGCAGATTTTAAGCTGAGCCCCAGGCCCCCTTAGACTGACTCCATTCATGGCCCTCCCAGCATCACAGCCATCCCTGGGAAAGAGCCCCGGGGAGGAAGGACCATTGCACACTGAGAGCCTATTGGTAAGGCCGGGGCAATGACCAATTGCTTCACTTGCTTGGAGAGTCTGAAACCCTGGCATGAGGTGCTTCAGGCTACTGCTGACCCTCTGGCTCCAGGAGACCCCTGGAGATAGTGCCAGGAATCAGAATCTGGCCCATTCCCTCCCAACCCACTTCTGCTCTCCCAGCCCCACTGGAAGGTTCTTCCCTCTTTCTGTTAAGAATGAGTCATCCATCAAAATGATTAAGAGAATGTACAAGTCGAACCATGAAATTTTACATTTGAGACAACTGAAGCCCAGAGAGGTTAGGTACTTGCCCAAGGTCACACAGCTACTTAACACGCAGAGGATGGTTACATCCCAGGCGTTCAGATGCTTTTCTCCAACTTTTAAATTAAGGAGGAGGTGTTATTTTTCACTTTTCCACTTTCAGAATGGGAGACCTGTATTTCTGACTCAAAGCAATTCTGCCTGGGAGCCTGGCTGCACAAAGAGAGAGGATGTGTTCACGTGAGCACCTAAATCCCCCAGCTGCCACACTCTGGGTCACTGTTGTGTCATTTTGACACTGGGGACTGTGATTCAATAAGTGGAAACCTCATTTAGAATGGAGTCAGGAGGCCAGAAGGAGGCGCTCCCACGCAGTACCTCAAGGTTGGTTATAGGAAAGATGGCCCACTGCAGACCCCAACAGAAAGAAGCGTCAACAGGAAGGTGGTCAGTTACAGGAGGGGATGTACATCGCATCCCAAGCAGAAATCAACAACCCCAGCAACTCAGCCAGTGAGCAACCGTCACCACCCTGAAGTCTTGCTTCTCTCCAATGGACTTCCGTTCAAAACAACCCCTCCCAGTTTCCTCCTTTTTCTCTGTAAAATAATCTTCCTCTCCATTATTTGTTGGATTTGCCTGTGGTCCGCCATAGTATGTACATCCTGAACTGCAATTCTTTGGCTATCCCAAATAAACTCGTTTTGCTGGTGAAAATAACAACCTATTTTATTTCTGAGGTCGACAGGATGAATTAGTGACCAAGGAGCTTGTCTTCTTCTACCAGCGGGCTGTGTGAGGAGCCTTCAGAATCAACCGCTGACTCAGACCACAAGTCCACCTGGGCCTTGGGAAGCCCCCCAAGGACTTTCGCCCGCTGAATCCTCTTGTTCCTGGTGAGCCATCGTTGGTCAGGGAAACCCATAATTCCAAAAACCACACAAAAAAGACTGTGCAGGGTAGCTCAAAGCAGGAGACACACTGAATGGGAAATCCATTCCTTTTTTTAAGGAGGAAAGTCCTGAACTTTGTCTTTACAATACAATAACCCAATGCATTGAGAAGAAAAGCAGCCAGAAGATTGTTTATTGGAAATAAAGAAGTTAAGTTGGAGAAAGAGGGAGGGCTGTGTAACTCAGGAGTTGGGGACAGGCCAAGAGAGGAAAACCAGGGGCCAGTTGGTGGGTTGGGGTGGGGGGTTGCTGAGGAGAAGCAAACTGCCTGAGTGTACAGACACAGTCTTCCTTTGTAACTCCCCCGGGACTTAGCACCTTCACAGCGAGATTTTGGGGGAGAATGCACATTCAGGAGAAGCACCCAACATACAAATATGTAGTGAGAGGCCAGTGAGGGACATGGCCCAAGTGCTCCAAGTTGCCTGCCTCAGCTTTTGTGGGCCTCCAGAAGGCACAGCTCTGGCTTCCCCTGGGACATGCCTGCCCTACCCCCATCCCACCCCATCCCGCCTCCTGACAGGGAGCAGCAGGCACCCATGCTTCCCAGGAGAAGAGGTTGGATAAAATCCAGGTGGAGCCTTAGATATTGTACTTATTTATCATTACAGCAAACAAAAGGTCCAATGGAACATGGACCTGTTCTGTGGAATACCGTGCAGGGCTCTACCAAAAGAAACCACTAGTTGGGGCTGGCTCCATGGCTGAATGGTTTTAAGTTCATGTGCTCTGCTTCGGTGGCCCAGGGTTTCACTGATTTGGATCCTGGACACAGATGTGGCACCACTCATCAAGCTGGGGGGGACTGGAATTGGCCACCCCAAGATATGTCTCTTTGGCATGAGGATCATTTTGGGCTGGTTACTTTTAAAAACTGCAGACATGAGGGAAACTCTGAAAAGCAGAAGTTACCCTTTGTAAGAGACATTTACCTTTGTAAGGGAAATCTCCATCTGTAAAGGTGTATCCATCTCTGTACCAGGAAGAAGAAGGGATGACCTTATATCTAGAAACTCTTATCAATGTAGAAGGCAAGGACTCAAGTCTGCATAATAACCTTACTCTTGTTTACTGTGCTTTTCTGGCAACCTCCGATAACTGACCCCCCCCCACCCTCAACATCCTCCTTTGTCTTTAGCTGAAGATGGTATTTAAGGTGAGAGCTTCCGCCATTTCGGTGAGCTGCTTAGTTTTCCTGAGTGTCTCCGTGTATACATGCTATAAAGCTTTGTTTGATTTTCTCCTATTATTCTGTCTCATGTGAATTTAATTCGTTGTCTGGCCAGAAGGACCCAGAGTGGGTAGAAGAAATGTCTTCCTCCCCTACAAAGCCATGCTGGGTGGTGTCCCACACAGTACAACCAGAAGCACCTACAACTAGACTATACAGCTGTGTATTGGGGGGCTTTTGGAGGACAAGGAAAAATAATAACAAAAAAAAATCTTGAAAAAAAAAAGAAACCACCAGAAAAACAGCTCAGGGTGTATCTGCAAAGTTTCTATGTAAGAGAAGCAGGTCTGGAGTGACATCCACTATATTCTCAACAAAGATTTTCTGGCAGGGAGTGAAATAGGGTGCGGGTGACTAAGGATGGAGGGAGGGTTGTGGGGAACATCCCCCTTTTATACAGTTCCTACAGTCGGAATGATGGAGAAAAGTACATCTGAACTGCGATCAGGAAGAAAGGCAATGCAGACATTTCCTTTGGGAAGAAGCACATCTCTGATTACTCAGAGGACAGGCTGGGGAAGGACGCCCCCCAGCGAAAGAGACCTATCAGAGACACCAGGGAAGGCAGCGTGGCCCGGGCCTGGATCTTCCCGGGTGGCACAGTTACCAGGTGTCTCTCACCAGTGAGTGACATCAGTGGCCTTTGGGGAAGGGTTAGGCTTCCGGAACCTCTTGAAGCGATACAAAAGCTGCCTTTCCCCACTTTCTAGCACACAGTCTTGCAATTCAGTACCACATCCACGTTTGACAACACTAAATGGACTAAGGCAAGATTAAAGCACACAGCCAGCCTGGTGGGAACTCCTGGGTGTTTTCCTTCTAACAACAGAGCAAGCCGGGGCAGGCAGGGCGAGAGGCAGAGGGAGGCGCCTCAGCCCTGCTGCTGGGCGGGGAGGGCAAGGTGCAAACCGAGGCCAGAAAGGGAACTTAGGAACCAGCTCCTCCGACAGCCTAGTCTTGCTTCAGGATGGCGGGTAGCAGAGATGGGTTTCCACGGAGTCTGCTGATGGGGCCAGAGGCTCTCCCGAGAAGAGCTGCAGCCTGGAGCCTTCCAAGAACAGTCCTAAGGGTTCCTAATTTAATTATAGCTGAACCTAGGAGGGCTTCCTGGTAAACACTGTGTGGGGCCGGGCCAGCACACTTTAGTGTCAACTGGGAGCACTCATTGAAAGGCTCACTGGGCCCAAGGAGACAGAAAAGAAAGACAGATAAACATGAAAGGCAAAACAAGAAGTCTGTGGCGTTGACGCGTTTCTGTTATTGTTACCAATTCTCCAAGAGGATGAGCGGGTGGGGGAGGAGGACCAGGCAGCCCTCTGGCGAGGATTCCGTTTCTGGGCTGACTCTCCTTCGCAGAAGGTGGTTCTGCACTCACTGGGAACCGGCTGCCTAAGAGCCAGACGGGGCCAGGAGCGCTCCCAGTTGTGACCTCCTGGTGGCTTTTCCTTTGGGGATCCTCAATCCACTGTGCAGGGCAGCGCCGCTGCCCGCCAGCTGTCAGAGGTGCGAGTGAAGTTGCTGAGCCCTCCAAAACGATGAGTGATGGAGAAATGGGCTGGGGGGGGGGGGGGGGACAGGGCACCGAAACGTCCCTGCCCGTCAACCGACAGACAAGCCTGCTGCTTAACTTGTGGACTTGACCTGCTGGCTGGTGGTCCAGCTCAGGAGGTGCAGACTGTGCCCGTAGGTGAATCCAGCCGCCACGTGGTCTCGTTGCCTGGTGCCTATGGCCATGCACATGAACACCGCATGCCCTTGCAGCTGGGTCAGCCTAGAATATCTACCATCTGGTCCTTTACGGAAAAGCTCTGGTTGACTCTTCTCCTCCCTCCACTGACTCATTATTTTTCTGCCTTTTGGCCATTCCTTCCTCAACACTATTTCCACCTGGAATAACACAATAATAAAAATAACAGCTTATAGCTATGGAACTCTGGCCCCTGGGAGGGCACTGCTGCAGTCTACCGCTCACTCCCCCCCGTATAATCTCTAAATCAAGGGTCGGTGGGGAGAACATGCTGGATTGTAGGCCCGTTGGAGAGTTGGATGGATTTATACTGCTGGAATCATTGGTGTGTTTTGTTTCTCTCCCATCCTAGGACCTCAGTCAGCAGTCCTGAACCTGTTGATAACCAAACGGGAAAAAAACCCACCGTGTAGTGATTACAAGCAAGGGCTGAATCACATCTTGGGCAAGTTATGCAGCTTCTCAGTGCCTCAGTTTCCTCATCTATAAAATGGATGTTAGAACAATGCCTCCCTCATAT